AATATTAAATAACTTTTTATACCAATATATTTACTTTTATCTTTATCTAAAAGTTAGATTAATGTTGTTTAACAAAGTGTAAATTGCACAAACATTTTTAGTAGAAGAAGTTCTCACTCATACAATACAAATACCTTCATTAAGTAATGAAGTTTAATATATAATTCTAAAATTGAAAAAAAAAAAAAAGAGAGTAAGAAATACAAATTAAACATCCATTTGTGGAGGAAGCAAAGAAGTAAATACCGTATCGTACCAGTCGGTATGGTCGGTACGTACTGGTTTTTATAATAGACCGAAACGAAGTAAGAATGAATTTTATTTCGATCAAAATTTGGTTATTTCGATCAAAATTTGGTTATTTCGATCAAAATTTGGTGATTTCGGTCAAATTTCGATGTACCGGCTGGTACACCAAAATTTAACAGATACAATATGCAAGAATTAAAAAAAAAAATGATTTCCCAGCCAAAACGACGTTGTTTTGGCCAGCCCTGCAATTTCAATCGCGCAAATCCTCTTCTGTTCTCGCGTCTAGCTGTCTTGACTTGTCAATCTTCTATTTTTTGGTACAGTTGCCCGCTACAATTCAAATCAATTCAAATTTAAAAAGAGTAAATTTCATTTTTAGTCCTCAACTTTAATATTTTATATAATTTTCATTCTTTAGTTTTTTTATATACTTTTTTAGTCCATTGTTCATATTTTTTTAGTCTTTCTATTAATTACTCCGTTAAGTTTTTTTAAATACACACATTTTTAATCTCTTAATTTAAAATGGATGAACAAAAAAAATATATATTAAAAGTTAAGGGATTAAAAATTATCATTTTAAACTTATTTTTAATTTATAAGGATATAATAGTTTTAAATATTAGTATCATTTATTTTATTTTAAAATTTGATATTTAATTTATAAAAATATATATTTATAGTGATAAATTTGAAATGGTACACAAAAAATTTCAATATTTAATATGTACCGTTTCAATAATAAAATCGATACGCATATCGATATGGTATTGAATTACTTTGGGAGGAAGTCCATCCTTGGAAAACTTCCGCAAAGGCGAAGGTAGCCTAGAAATTGGGGTGGGCACTAGTGGGACAGGGTACCTTACCCGGTTCCCTTTTTAGTTGCCAATAATTTTTGGCAACGTTTTTCTTTACCAACATCATGTTAAGATACATATTTTTTTATAATTATCTATTAAAAGTTTTAGGCAATTAAATCTTCTACTGTTATTCTACAAATACCTGCTAAATTCATTTCTTAATATGTTTTGATTTCCAAATTTCAGGTGTTATTTAACTTCTAAAAATAAATTCAACTTGTAATAAAAATGTTTTAAGTGAAATTGATAGATCAAAAATTAAATAAAATAACATTTTTTTTTACTATCTTCAAATAAAAAAAACTCTTAACATTAGTAAATCCACTTTTTTTTAAAGATTACTTAGTGTAATTTAACCAAATCTAAATTGTACAAACATTTTTTATAAGAGAAACTTTCACTCATACAAATTAAACATCCATTTGTGGAGGAAGTCCATCCGCAGAAAACTTCCCGCAAAGAGGAAGGTGGCCCAGAATTTGAGGTGGACACCGATTTTTGGCAAAAATTCACTTTTAGCCCCTCATCTTATCAAATTCGAAGGTTTTAATCCATTATCTTACCTTGATACTTTTAACTCCTCATCTTACTAAATTTGTAGGTTTTAATTTCTCACCTATTAAAATTGAAAAAAATAACCTTCACTTTAGGTTGATCGTTAACTTTGTTAACTGAAAGTAGATTTTTATCAATTAACAGTCAATTAATAGCCAATTAACAAAATTAATGAAATATTATAAAATAAATTCTATTAACTCTGTTAATTGAAAAAAAGTTTTTGACAGTTAACAGTCAACTAATAGTCAGCTAATAGAGTTAACATTTATTTAACAAAACTAACAAAATGTTACAAAGTGAGGACTATCTTCTTCAATTTTAATTGGTGATGGGCTAAAAGTATCATGGTATAATATGAGTGATTAAAACCTACAAATCTAATAAGGTAAATGGTTCAAAATGTCATAATATAAGATGAGGAGTTAAAACCTTCAAATTTGACAAGATGAGGGGCTAAAGTAGGCTTTTACCGTGATTTTTTTGGTTGCCAATAATTTTTGGCAACGATTTTCTTTACCAATATCATGTCAAGATAATTTTTTCTATAATTAATTACCTATTAAGCGTTTTTGGCAGTAAAATCTTCTACCATTACTATATAAATACTTGCTAAATTCATTTCATACTATTTTTTCATTTGCAAATTTGAAGTATTATTTAACTCCTAGAAAAAAAAAATCAGTTTGCAATAAAAATATTTTAAGTGAAATTGATAAGTAAAAAATTGAATGAAATAACTTTAGATTTACTATTTGGATCGAAGGGAATGGAGAAAAGAGAAAAAAATTTCTTTATTTGGTTATTAAAAGAATTAAAGGAAAAAGAATGAAAAGAATATCATTTATTATATTTTTAAAAAAATTTATTTATTTATCTAAACAAGAGGATAAAAGGAATAGAAAATAGAGTAAAATAAAAGGATACAATTCCATTCACCTCTGTTTTCTTTCTCTGTACCCTTCAAACCAAAAATATAAATAAGGTTTTTTACTTAAAAAATGTACTTATATACCTTTGAATTTTACCTAAAAAGTATTTGAAAAATATGACAGTTAATGGACCTCTACTATCATTACTCGTGTCAAGATAAATTAATAATTGCTAATTATGGATAAAAATTAACTTATTTATCATTATGTCATGTCATTAACTTGACACATAGCATGACAATGTAGTTCGCATTGCATGCATGGCGAGCAATGCCCACCCCTACCTCGAAGTCCAGGAGATAATGCCCATCCACTTACAGCATATCGAAGCAATCAAATGAGCAACTCCTTTTTTATTTTTATTATTATTATTATTATTATTATTATTTTATTAGAATAACTCCATTTGCAACCTTGTAATGTGTCGGAATCAACAATTAACAATGGAATGTCTCAAAGCATTGACATCTATAATTATTTTATTGGTACCATTTCCACAGCTATATTTGTATTTGAAATGGCTTTGACTACTAATTTAGAATTATTAATCTAGAATCAGTCTGTGCTATAGTGTTGGTATATTTTCTTTATGCTTTCTTGAATTCTAGCTAGTTTCATAAGCTTCAATCAGAACAATAGAAGAATATTAAATAATAATCGCACCTGTCCTCGAACCACTAATCCCCTAGTATCTCACAATGACTCCAATAGCTGCTTCCATGCTCAGTATCAAAGGTCCCCTCACGTTTGATTTTAGACATACATAAAACACACCTCTAGTTCTGAGTTTGAAAAAATCAATTATTCCTAAAATGCCCTTTCTTATGAACTTTAAGTAAGTCCTAGAAATGCTCTTCCCTAAATCAGATCAAAATTAGTAATTAACTCTATAGATTAGGCATAAATTGTTCATATAAAGATTCAAAGATCGCGTCTAGATAATAGTAGGACTCATATAGTATTTATAAAGACTAATGCACGACAATCGTAATTTAACACAAGGAGCAATGTTTTCCCACAGAAAATACACAGGGTGGAAGAAGATCTTGTCATGTCCTGCTAATTTGGCCTGATTTCGATGCCTTCAATAATGACACCTCTCTTCCAGCTACCATCGAAATGAAAAATTCGTATTTCCAATTGGCCATCTTCACCTCGTTCATTGAAGTATTCACCCAACTCTAGCTCTAGCCAACCATCTCCCCTCTCTACTGGGTACCGGTAATCATTTTGTACATCTTCAACTTCTGCATGCAGAAATACAGTTCGCTGCAAACCTTCAGTTCCACTAAGTCGGACAGTGGCTTCTACGCGTTCATTTGTAAATCCATAAAATCTAGCTCCCAGTTTGAACACAAGGTATGCCTTATAACGTGTCATTGAAGAAAGCTTGCAAGTACTGATACTCCCATTGATTTCAAACCAACAAACACTGAGAAGCTCTGCACCCTCAGGGAACCTGATTGTAATTAAGCATGAATTATAGACATTAATCTTCACATATTTATTCATTTTTAGTTCAAGAAGACACTTAAAAACAATCAACTACATGCTTGAATTCTTTTGGTTGGGTGTGAGTGAAACTGTGTCATGCATGCCTTTTGTCTGCATTTTCTGTGTGGTGTTTGCGTGCGTGTGTGTGAGCTGGAATCTCGCATGGAGTTCAGAGAGAGAGAGAGAGAAACCTGGAATCTTCTATGGAGTTCCGACTCCAATAATGAGGATTATCACCCCATGTAATGGCGAGGTCCCCAGCAGCTAGCATGTAACATTTTTTCCCACTCCTTTTGTGCAGTGAAAAGCTCTATGCAATAGAGGTTATACAATTAAACACTCAACTGGTTCTGAAAATGTTGGCCAAAAAAATACTAGTACTGAAAAAGAATAGTTTGGAAAAGATTACTGATCAAACTTCAAAATATCAAAGGAATACATAAACTTACCATAGAAAGGACATAACCATCATTAATCATTATTACATCACCAACAAGAACATAATCCTCTAGCAAGCATATTCCAAAAAAAAGCAGTGAATACCCAGGCAACACATCCATAAGTTTTGTAAATTATACCAATAAAAATCCTTATAGTTAGCTGCTTCATATAGACATGAATTCAGGACTATCAACACAAAAGAAAATTACACCAAGTCATGGCCTCTTAACAAGCCATATATACCTACACACACAAAATAAACGTTAAAAGTCCTCAAGAAGTTTGTAAAAAAAAAAAATGTTATAAGTTCTTAGGAAAAATCATTCACAGCAAACAAAAAGCGCAAAAGCTCAATTAACTACACACAGCAATTGATCAGAAAAGGAAGGCATTATCAGAATTTGGCTTTTTTAAGCTTATGATTCATCCTCAGTCCAAACAATGAAATCTTACAATATGCATATGTTGAGTGAATGCATATCTAGTCAAGTACCTTGCTGAGTGAAAAATTGAAAAGAGCCAATGATTAAAACTACCTAAGATTGTAAGATTTAGGACTGTAAGATTTTATTAAGAAAATATGTACTCCCTATTCTCTAGTCTGATTTAGTAATTCTAGTTTGAATTTTGCATAAAGTTTGACTGTTTGCAAATCAGAAAAGTGATGTGTAGTCCATCCTCATACTGAAATACTGTAACTAAGGTGCAGAATGCACATCTTATAACAATTGATGACGGGCCAGTCCTTATATTGACAGAGTCCCCTTACATTAATGGTATAGTCCGCCCAAATTGTCCCCAAATCTTTACTCTAAACATAAAATCGAAAAACTCTATTGTTTGGGATGAATGGAGTAGTTAAATTTTTTTCTATGAATAATTTTTATTGAGTATTTTCAATTAATTTTTTTTTTCAATTATGATTTTTTTGTTATACAAAATTATCAAATTAATTTGTCGTATAAAATTGATGAGTTAGGAGAACTAAAAAGAAACAAATGAGTAAATCATTTTCCACTGAACACAACATGCCAAACCATAAGATCATATGGGAACACGGAAACTGAGAAGATCAAAAAGGCAGGTGGGAGTCGGGATTATATATATTTACCTTTTTACCATTTTCAATGAGTACAGGATGATCGCAGAGGCCGAGATAAAGGTCCTTCAAGGGAAAAGTGGATCGCGATGCGGGAACCAAATTCTGGTAGTCGGACGGCAGGAACTTAACCCAAACCGCGTTGGATCTGGCGACATCGTTGAAAGAGCGGGAAACTACTGACCATCTACAGGCATCGAGAGGACTGGTGAAGGAGATGATGGGTTCGAGGCAGTCGGGGGGAAGAGTGCGGCAATCCTGCATCTCGGTGTCTATTCGTTAACAGCGCGGACTAGTACTCATCCTCAATTGAAGCCAAATGCGATGAGATCGGAGTTGAATAAGGGAAACTCGACTAGAACTTAGCAGTTAAGTCTTGTAATAGTACGGCATTCTTGGGGGTAGCGTGGTCAAATAAACAACTAATATTATGAAAATTTTAATTTAATTTAATAATTTAAAATAATTAATAATTTAAAATAATTAATAGTTAATAAAATAATTAATATTTACTATTTAACATATTAAATTTACTGTAATTTATAATCATACTTTTTAATTATCATAATCAATTATTTAAAAAACATAAACTAATAAAATTAGAGTTAAAATTGCTACCTTTGACAAATATTTGGTAGTAATAACCTCCACTCACACTTGAGGTGTTGTTATGGTCAGGCATATAAATGTTGAATTTTTTATACATAATTAATTATGGTATATAAAAATAGTTAAAACATATTTTGAACCTTATATTTTAGCCCAAAAAAGCTATTTTTTTATCCTTAAAAATCTCTCTTTTAGTTGTTAAAATTTCTTATTTGATTTTTTTATTTTTTTTTTACACATACGATACATTAAATGACATATATTTTAAAATAAAGAAATTAAAAATGTGTTTTCTTTTAAGTAAAAGAATTAAAAATAATTTTTTAGGTAGAGAGACTTGAAAGTTTTTTTTTTTTTTTTTTTAGTTGCTTCCTATAACATATTCTCCTGCAGAGTAGCTCACCGGGGCCTCTGAGAAAGTTTCCGACGTTGCGTCTTGGATTATGGCACAATTTTGTTGCAGAAGACTGTTCATCTGGGCAGTCCAATGGTTGAGGTGGTGTGGTGACCGATGCCTCCTGGTCAACTAATCCCTACTTTTGCAACACTGCCTGCAAGCCATCCTCACGACATTTGATTAGAATTTTAGAGATGTGACAGCTTAGCTACTTATGATTCTAAATACTTAGCAAGTTTGTGCGTGTGAACAATTTTGTAATCTAAATGATGGAGTTATGTACCGTACTGACGTAGGAAAGTTGTGAACTTGTTTACAGAATAAGATTCTCAGCTGTTGTATTCTTTGGCCATAATTTGTTGTGTTTTGAATGTATATTTCCCATCAATTTTGCTTCAGTATATGATTAAACTTTGAGTGTTGGGTTGTTTGTTCAGGGTCACAAGAGTTATGTCCCAAATATGATCAGTGGAGCAGCTCAAGCAGACGTTGGTGTTCTGGTGAGTTAGGCGCCACTTCTCTGCATTTGTTTTGCGCAAGTCCCATTTTTTGAATTTTTAATTCTTTCTCCTTCCCTGTCTTGTTCTCTATCTGACTGTCATAATTAGGTTATTTCTGCCTGTAAAGGGGAATTCGAAATTGGATATGAGAGGGGTGGGCAAACTTGTGAACATGTTCAGCTTGCAAAAATTTTGGGTGTATCTAAGCTGTTCGTGGTTGTGAACAAAATGGAGGATCCCACCGTTAACTGGTCAAAAGAAAGGTGCTGTTCCTGAATTTAGTTTAGTTTATGCTTATATATGCTGTTTTATTTCTGTGTTCCTATTCTCCCACAGATATGATGAAATTGAATCTAAAATGGTACCATTTCTGAGGTCTTCAGGCTACAATGTGAGAAAAGGTGATTGATTGAATTAAAATTGCAGGTTATTTGTATTTTTTTCAATAAAAGCAAAGCAATTAATTTTGTATATTGATTGTGTTTTTCATCTTATTCTGAACCTGCAGATGTCCAGTTCCTACCAATATCTGGTCTTCTTGGTTCCAATGTGAAAACGAGAGTGTAAAAGAGCATATGCCCCTGGTGTAATGGCCCCTGCCTCTTTGAAGTTCTGGATGCAGTTGAAATTCCTCCTAGAGATCCAAAAGGTCCTTTTAGGTATGATTTATTACTGTAGGAATTCATAAAACTCCAGGAAGAAAGTATAATTGTATAACTATACCCTTTCTCCCTTTGTTATAGAAAAGGCTACATGGTTACTTGTAAGGACTCTGACTATTTGTTGAGTCCCTATGACTTTGATTCCAAACATAAGATAAGTAAATAACTGGCTAGGATTCTTAGAAAATGAAACCTAAGAAATCTAACTCCTAACAATCCTAGAATGACCAAAATGTACCCAAATTATATTTAAAAAAAAAAATACCGAAATCATGGAACTGAGACTATATTAAGTCTGCCCCTGAACATAGAAAAACTTAAGTCTAATAAAATAAAACCCTAAATTGCTAAAATTAAAGTTACACAACGTAGATTCTGAATTATCAAGGCTGTATCAATCTTTCATTTCACATCTATTAACTATATGTCTTCTAAATATGCAGGATGCCTATAATTGACAAATTTAAAGACATGGGAACTGTCGTAAGAATTTGAGGTATTATTTAACTTCTAAAAGCAAATTTAACTTACAATAAAAATGTTTCAAGTGAAATTAATAGGTCAAAAATTAAATGAAATAACTTTAGATTTACCATATGGATTGAGAGAAAGTATTTTTTTACCATCTTCAAATATGAAATAACTCTTAATATTAATAAATCTACCCTCACTTAAAAGTTAGTTTACTGCAATTTAACCAAATCTAAATTGCACAAATATTTTTGATAGGAGCAACTTTCACTCATACAATACAAGTACCTTCATTAAGTAATGAAGTTTAATATATAATCCTAAAAGTGAAAAAAAAAATGTAAGGAATGCAAATTAAACATCCATTTGTGGATGAAGTCCATCCCTAGAAAACTTCCCGTAGAGAGAAAGGTGGCCTGGAATTTGAGGTGGACACCGGTGTAATAGCTTATCTTGCCCAGTGATTTTTTTCGTTGCCAATCATTTTTGGCAACGATTTTTCTTTACCAATATCATGTCAAGATATTTTTTCTATAATTAATTGCCTGTTAAAAGTTTTTGGCAATAAAATCTTCTACCATTACCATACAAATACCTGCTAAATTCATTTCATACTATTTTTTCATTTGCAATTTTGAAGTATTATTTAACTTTTAGAAAAAAAAATCAATTTGCAATAAAAATGTTTTCAGTGAAATTGATAGGTCAAAAATTAAATAAAATAACTTTAAATTTATCGTTTGGGTTGAGGAGAAAGAAGGAGAGAGAAAAAATTTTTTTTATTTAATTATCAAAATAATTAGAGAAGAAAGAATGAGAAGAATTTTCTTTATTATATATTTTTTAAAATTTATTTATTTATCTAAATAAAAAGATAAAGGGAAATGAAATGGGAGGAAATGAAATGGAAGGAAATAAAAAGATACAATTCTCCTCTCTTCTTTTTTTCTTTTTCTTTTCTTTTTTCGTTCCCTTCAACTTAAACATATAGATAAGGTTTTTAACTTAAAAAATGTGCTTATATATCTTTAAATTTTAATTAACTTAACATACTTGAAAATCATGACTATTAATGAACTCCTACTGTCATTACTGTGCCAATAAATTAATAACTGCTAATTATGGATAAAAATCAACTTATTTATCATTATGTCATGTCATTAACTTGACGCATAGCGTAACAATGTAGTTCGCATGGCATGGCGAGCAATGCCCACCCCTACCTAGAAGTCCAAGAGACAATTCACACCCACTTACGGTATGTCAAAGCAATCAAATGAGCGACTCCTTTTTTTATTATTGGTATTGTTATTGTTATTATTATTATTATTATTATTATTTTATCAGAGTAACTCCATTTGCAACCATGTTTTTTTTTTTTTAACAGCAAAAGTAATATTTATTGAAACAAGAAGTACAAGGGTACCTCAGACCCTTAAACATTTAAACTTAAAAGGCATAGATTACATAGTTGAATATCCCTGCCGCTTGGTGTCGACACCAAAATTATGTGTCGACACCACATCCGTGTCGGGTTCGGATGCTCAGTCCTTCCGTTTGGTGTCGACACCAAAATTACGTGTCAACACCTAGTCCGTGTCGGGATTTTGAATGCTAAGCCCTCCCGTTTGGTGTCGACACCAAAATGATGTGTTGACACTGTGAGCTCTTCACTTCCTCTTCAACCCACCTTGTATTGACTTCAAGCACAACACCGGGCTTTGTATCCAATCTGCACTAGAAAACAGCGTTCCAGCCACCCTTCCACTGATCCAAAAGAATGTTCGAATCTGTACAAGACCAAACAACCTTTCAATAGAGCTTTCTTTTTTTCTAAAAATTTGTTTATTTCTTGCTAACCATATGGTCCATGTGAAGCCAAACCAAATGGTTTCCCAGCCCTACCTAACCCATTTGTTTTCTGAATAGAAGACATGCTGAACAAAGGCCTTCCTACACTCATTATAATTCGCACAGCTCAATCCCCACCATTCTTGATATTTTCACCACAATTTTACTACAAAGGGGCATTCCAAGAACAAATGGTTGGTATCTTCCAGTGCCGCCCCACAGAAGCCACATAAGGCTGTTGTATCATCCTTTAAAATGCCCCTTGCAACCATGTAATGTGTTGGAATCAACAATCAACAATGGAGTGTTTCAGAGCATTGACATCTATGATTATTTTAGTGGGATCATTTTCACAGCTATATTTGTATTCGAAATGGCTTTAACTACTAATTTAGAATCATTCTCTGTTATGGTATTGGTGTGTTTTCTTTATGCTTTCTTGAATTCTAGCTAGTTTTATAGACTTCAATCAGAACAGTAGAAGAATATTGAATAATAATTGCACCTGTCCTCGAACCACTAAACCCCTAGTATCTCACAATGACTCTAATAGCAACTTCCATGCTCAGGATCAGCCCCCTCACGTTTGATTTTAGACATACATGGAACTCACCTTTAGTTCTGAGTCTGAAAAAATCAATTTTTCCTAAAATGCCCTCTCTTAGGAACTTTAAGTAAATCCTAGAAGTGCTCTTCCCTAAATCAGATCAAAATTAGTAATTAACTCTATAGATTAGGCATACATTGTTCAAATAAAGATTCAAAGATCGCATCTAGATAATAGTAGAACTCATATAGTCTTTATGAAGACTACTGCATGACAATCGTAATTTAACACGCGGAGCAATGTTTTCCCACACAAAATACACACGGTGGAAGAAGATCTTGTCATGTCCTGCTAATTTGGCCTGATTTCGATGCCTTCAATAATGACACCTATCTTCCAGCTACCATTGAAATGAAAAATTCGTATTTCCAATTGGTCATCTTCACCTCCTTCATTGAAGTATTCACCCAACTCTAGCTCTAGCCAACCATCTCCCCTCTCTACTGGGTACCGGTAATCATTTTGTACATCTTCAACTTCTGCATGCAGAAACACAGTTCGCTGCAAACCTTCAGTTCCACTAAGTCGGACAGTGGCTTCTACAGGTTCATTTGTAAATCCATAAAATCTAGCTGCCAGTTTGAACACAAGGTATGCCTTATAATGTGTCATTGAAGAAAGCTTGCAAGTACTGGTCCTCCCATTGATTTCAAACCAACAAACACTGAGAAGCTCTGCACCCTCAGGGAACCCGATTGTAATTAAGCATGAATTATAGACATCAATCTTCACATATTTATTCATTTTTAGTTCGAGAAGACACTTAAAAACAATCAACTACATGCTTGAATTCTTTTGGTTGGGTATGAGTGAAACTGTGTCATGCATGCCTTTTGTCTGCATTTTCTGTGTGGCGTTTGCGTGTGTGTGCGCGTGTCTGTGAGCTGGAATTTTATATGGAGTTCAGAGAGATAGAGAGAAACCTGGAATCCTGTATGCAGTTCCAACTCCAATAACGAGGAGTATTACCCCATGTAATTGCGAGGTCCCTAGCAGCTAGCATGTAACATTTCTTCCCACTCCTTTTGTGCAGTGAAAAGCTCTATGCAATACAGGTTTATACAGTTAAACACTCAACTGGTTCTGAAAATGGTGGCCAAAAAAATACTAGTACTGAAAAAGAATAGTTTAGACAAGATTACTGATCAAACTTCAAAATATCAACAAGGAACCGAAGGAATACATAAACTTACCATAGAAAGGACATAACCATCATTAATCATTATTACATCACCAACAAGAACATAATCCTCTAGCAAGCATATTCCAAAAAAAAGAAGCATTGAATACCCAGGCAACACTTCCATGAGTTTTGTAAACTATACCAATAAAAATCCTTATAGTTAGCAGCTTCGTATAGACATGAATTCAGGACTATCAACACAAAAGAAAATTACACCAAGTCATGGCCTCTTAACAAGCCATATATAGCTACACACAAAAAATAAATGTTAAAAGTCCTCAAGAATTTTGTTAAAAAAAATGTTAAAAGTTCCTAGGAAAAATCATTCACAGCAAACAAAAAGCGCGTAGCTCAATTAACTACAGACAGCAATTGATCAGAAAAGGAAGGCATTATCAGAATTTGGCTTTTTTAAGCTTATGATTCATACTCAGTCCAAACAATGAAATCTTACAATATGCATATGTTGAGTGAATGCATATCTAGTCAAGTACCTTGCTGAGTGAAAAATTGAAAAGAGCCAATGATTAAAACTACCTAAGATTGTAAGATTTAGGACTGTAAGATTTTATTAAGAAAATATGTACTCCCTATTCTCTAGTCTGATTTAGTTATTCTAATTTAAATTTTGCATAAAATTTGACTGTATGTAAATCAGAAAAGTGATGTGTAGTCCGTCCTCATACTGTAATACTATAACCAAGGGGCAGAACGCACATCTTATAACAACTAATGAGGGGCAGGTCCTTACATTGGGAGAGTCTCCATACATCAATGCTACAGTCAGCCCAAATTGTCCCCAGATCCTTACTCTAAACATAAAATCGAAAAACTCTTGTTTGGGACGGATGGAGTAATTAAATTTATTCTATGGATAATTTTTATTGAGTATTTTTAATTAATTAATTTTTTTTTTCAATTGCGATTTGTTGTTATATAAAATTATCAAATTAATTTGTATAAAATTGATGAGTTAGGAGAACTAAATGAACCAAAGAAGGAATAAATCATTTTCCAGTGAACAGAACATACCAAACTATAGGATTATATGAGGACCGAGAAACGAAAAGATCGGAAGGCAGGTGGGAGTCGAGATATATATTTACCTTTCTGCCATTTTCAATGAGTACAGGATGATCGCAGAGGCTGAGATAAAGGTCCTTCAAGGAAGAAACGAAGCGCGATGCGGGAACCAAATTCTGATAGTCGGCCGGCAAAACTTAACCCAAACAGCGTCGGAACTGGCGACAGAGTTGAAAGAGGGGGAAACTGGCGACAATCTACAGGCATCGAGAGGACTGGTTAAGGAGATGATAGCGGCGAAGCAATCAGCGGGAAGAGCACGGAAATCCAGCGTCTCTGGATGGAATCGTTGACCCCTCGGACCGGTACTTATTGTGACCGAAAACGTGGAATGCCAACGGGTGGATATTGGAGTTTAATAAAGGGTATTTGAGGAAAGCTCAGCTGTTAAGTTTTTGTAATGGTAATTATTATAATTTTCTATTATAATCCTGTGATATATTATAAACTCATAATATGATATTGTGTAATATTTATTTAAGTAGATGTGGGTTGAAAAATCTATAATTAAAAAAAGCAAAATTACACATAATCTACTATAATTTATAATGAGTACATATAAAGGTTTCTGGTATTGAAATGTGCATTTAAAGACTTGTGTTATGAACTTGAACACTAAATCACTCTTACCATCCAAATAATGTTAAATTATGTGCGATATCTTAAATACTTTGAACTTGACCTAAAGAAATAAAAAAAAGAAAGAAAAAACTCAACCATATTACAAACTCTTTTTCATAACAATCTTCAAAGATCAACTTACTTAAAAATGAATACCAAACAAAATAATTCTTTATAGGTAATTAAATAAAATCTTTTAATTTATTGTATTTTATATTCCAAAGTGAAACTTTATTTTTAATTTTCTTTTATTGACCTTTTTGTGTTCAGTTTGAAATCTTGTTGCTTGTTTAGGATTTAAAAAATGAGGATTTCATTTAAAAATTGAAAGGCTCTAGCTTGATCATTTGCAGTTATAAATAATATATTCTTGATTTTATGTATATTTAATTTTAATTAATTTCAAGAGTACATGCTAATTATGAATATTTTATACATGTGCAATTTTTTTTTTCAATTGAATTACACAAGTGATTTGAATGTGGTTAGTTAAAATGAATGAATTAATTATTATCATTTTTTTTTTATGTATTTTGGCAGATGTATGGGAATAAGTTGCTAAGGAATGATTAGACTATAAGTGGTTTTAATGAGTAAAATGAACTACAATTCAACTTTTGGTGCTGGGCAAGATGGTGGCGTTAGGCAAGAAAGGCGTTAAAGGAATTAAGGTAAAAGTGAAGTTTTCTATTAAGTTTTAATGGCAAGAATGTTTTGTTACTCTCATTTTAAAACATAGATTTTTAAGTGTACATTTTAATACTATAAGTTTTTAAATGCACTCACCATAAATCGTAGGTAGATTAAGTGCAATTTTCCCTTAAAAAAATTTAAAATCATTATAAATGAGTAGGATTTGACTAAAAATCAAACTTATTTAATTTTAAATCACTTGAGTTTTGATTACTAAATCAAAAAGTTGAAAAATTAATGAATAAGTTGTCTATAACTGAAAAATTCAACCCCAAAGCCTTTTGTATAAAATTTTTCAATGATTTTTAGATTTTTAAAAGATTTTCTA